TTCCACAGATCCAGTTCATTCTGTTGTTGTACATAATTCCTTGAGAGATTTTTTTTTAAGACAAAATTTTCCCAGAATTGGATTATTTTCAGATTTAGAGCGCATTTTGAAAATTAGAAGCAGAAATGGCTTAGCCATTTTTTCATTCATGCAAGTAAAGGGAACATACTTTCTCTGTTATTTAATAACTGTGTTTTGGAATGGTTATCTCAAGTAAATTGTGTCTGCAAATCAAGCTGAAATACGTTAGAGGAAATTTCTCAGGCCATTTCTCAGACAAGGTTTATAGGATATATTCTGTAAAAGACCAGGAAGTACAGACTAACAAGCTTCTGTCTCTCATGTTCCAGGTATGGAACAGCTGAACTGTGTGCTCACCACGTTCACGTGATTGCCCACTTGGTAAGAACCACGGTGTATTTGCAGCTTGGCACCAGTTTTAATCCAAGTTATACTGGCAAACTTTCTAAATGACCAAAGACAGGATTTTTTAAATTTTTTTTTAAATCCAAATTGAGATCGTTTCAGTTCTTCGAACTGGGTTAATAATTAGCAAAAGCAGTACAGTAAAAATATAAAACAATGTGCCTGGTATTTCCAACATGACCCCACATAGCAACCCTTAGAACGTTCTGTATAGAATTTATTTGCTTAGTGGTGATTTTTTTTCCTTAATTTAATTGGATGCATTACCCTTTTATGCTAATGCAGCTAAAGGCTTGGCCCAGTGACTGTTCCCAGGTCTCTGCCCTGGGTGTCCTGCTGAGGCGTCTGCTGTTCATGATGGCTCCGGACCATCAGGCAAGTACAGCACCAGCATCTTCTGTCATTACTAGAAGAGATTTGAACCAGTGGCCTGTGTTAAAATGTCCTCTTTCAGCTCTTCAGGAGTGCCAAGATGAGTGCTCACCCACTGTCCTTGCTATTGTAGTTGTTATTACTGAGTCACAGTGGATCCCACTTTGTGCAGACTGCACACCTTTCTGAGTGTCTTGCTGGGCAGCAGTGGAGTCCTTTTTCTGACTAAGGATGAAAACAGCAAATCTCCCAGATTTGCTGAAAACTGTGTGTCCTGACATTGCATCTGTGACTGGTGTTCACCAGTGTTCTCATGACAACAGGTATCAAGAGCAGTGTCCTGTCCTGTCAGTGCCTCTCTTCGTACCTCGGAGAGGCCAAAGCCCTTTCTTCTACTCACTGGGGCCATTGCTTCAAGCAGCTGAAAGAATTAAGTCATTTAATCATTCTGACGTCCTATATGTGACAAGGGAGGTGGCAGTTCTACAACTTTTTTATATAAAAAGTTGACTTTTATTCAAGTGAAAGGTTTTACACTTTTTTTTTTTTTCATGTAATATACCTAAAGCAAACCAGCTTTCTGAGAGATTATCAAGTTGTCTTCTGGCCTACTTAGTTTCTGTTACCTTTTGTTTCCAGGTAGAATTTGCTCACAAGTTTCTTCCAGAAGAGGTGGAGAACTTGGCTGTGTGGCAGCACATATCCCTCAGGGCCCTGGATCCCGACCTTAGGAAGGGAGTGGCAGGTCAGCTGTGCGTGGCCGCGCTCACGCGGTGCCGGCGATGGCTCAACAGCAGGCGCGCCCTGGGAGAGCTCCCACCCGTGGTAAAGGAGATGATTTGGTTCTCTTTGTAAAATTTGTGAGCTCTGGATTTTCAAACTGTAAGGATTCTGTTGCTGTCACCTCAGTTTTTCAGAGTGTTTTTTCCATGCCTATGCATGAGCCAGAACTCTTCGTGTTAACGTTTTCTTCTCGCACACAGCACCTCAGGACCCTCTACTGTGACAGTGGAGGTCTTGTGGTTCCCAAGTTATTCTAGTTGTTTGCTCTCTGGGCGAGCACATATATTTTTGTTTAGAATTTCTGATTTATGCTATACCTTAGGATACAATTACTTGTAAGTTTTAAAGTCCTGGCTGGTTTTACGCAGCATGAAATCTGAAAGATGCTCACTGGTCTCCAGAGGCTTCCACATAAAGTGTCTGCTGCCAGATTCCTCCTGCCAGTGCAGCAAATGACTGGATCACGTGTGAGCCTCGCAGGAGTAAGGGATGGTTTCCTTGCTTTGGAAGCTTTATTGGCTGGTGGGCTGCTGGATTAGCTGTGCTGTACAGCTGACACAGCACACTGGGCTTCTTGCCACCTTGTATCATTTTAGATGTTTAACATGAGCCTGGGGGTTTGGGTTGTTTTACACGTAGGTTTTTCTGGTCTGTCTCATACATTTTTTCCTCCTAGAACACTGCCCTTTCTGTCCTGCTGGCTGCCTGCACTTTTGCTGATGACACTCTGGAGGCAGAACTTAAGGCATCTGTCTTGGGAGTGCTCAGTCAGTTCTGGACTCTTCTCCAGGCTAAGCAGGTAAGAGAATTTGCTGCTCCAGTGCTGAAAACATGATGTCTTTGAGAGGCCGGTGCTATTCCTTCACATTGTTGTTACTAATTTGTTTTACTTGGATTGGACTGTTTCTGTAAAGCACAGTGTAACTGTGCTGCCCATCTGCTCTCAGCTGGTTTATGTTTTGGGCAGGCCTGTGCTCTGGGAAGCTGAGTTTGACTTTTCCTGAATGTTACATATGTGGCTCCTTGTGACTCCATCTGTTACTCAGTGTCAGATTCAGACTCGCTCAAGGAGAAATCTGAAACTCCTCATTCTGATTCACACCAGTTATGAATTTGGTCTGTTTTAAGTGTTCATTGGAATGTGAACAAAACTCACAGTGGTTTGATTAGTGCACAGCCTGGCACCTGGAAACCCACACCCTCCTCCCAGATTTGAGGGGGGTCAGGCAATGCCCTTGCAACCGTGTTACCTCTTCATGGCTGCAGCTGCATAAAGAAAAGAAAAAAGGATTGCCATGGTTCATGCTTCTGATTAAAAAAGGAAGTTTGAGAGTGAGGGTGAAGAGGAGCCAACAATGTGCCCCTTCAGAGGTCTCTTCCAACCTCAGCTCATGAGGACATTTGGCAACTGAGAAGTGAAAAGAAATAGTTCAGATAACCTTTAGCTGCTTGTTTTAGTGAGCAGTGGAAGGAGGCAAGGGCTAAGAAATATTGCTAATAAAAATCAAAGAAAAGGGTCTTGTAAAATATGACTACCTAGAAGTATTGATATGACTATTGTACTATTTTCTTCTGCTTACAATGCAGTGTTTTACGTGTGTGAAATCAGACTAAGAATTTTGGAACACTACTATAACTTGAAATTCTTTCTTAAGTAGTTATTCCATAAGTTAAAATGCAATGTTGTGATCTCTTGAAGGTCTCAGATGAGCCATGTCTCCAGCAGACACTGTGTCTATTACTTCACCTTTTGGAATTTTTCATCCAAGCATTAGATGCCCAACTGATTACTCAGGTAAAAAAAATCCCTTCTTATGAGGAATTTACTTCATGAAAACCAAGTTCTCCATGATTTGCTGAAATCTTAAATGAGTTATTTCATGGTCTGGCCACTTTTTAACACATGAAGTTTTTTAGTTTTATTTCTTGCTTGATTACTTTCCTGGGTTTTAAACCAAGCATATGGCATTCTGGTTAACACTGCTTTTGAAAATCTCCAGTTCCTCTGTAAGATATTGAGATATGTGGATGTGCTGTGTGGAGCCTGCTCATTTCTTTCTAAACTGCACACTGCAGCTTTACCTTACCCCGTTTTATTTGAGGTGCAGCACCTCCTTTTGGTTTTAAGTCCAGTTTTCTCAGTGTCTTTGGATTTAAAGATGAGACAGCACCATTTTAACCTGCAGTCTGTTGATGGAGCCTCACTGCAGTTTGTTTTCCACAGGTATTTGCACTGCAGTCTTCCTTTTTCCAGCTGGATCCCCCGGATCATGTTCGTCTAGCGATGGTGGATTTTCTGTCCTCCATGGGAAAGGTGTTTATACCACAAGAAGCACAGGTAAATGTAATTGTGGTGTTAGTGAAACCATCTTCAGTCTTTTGATGAAAAGATACACCTTTTATTTAAATATACACTTCATTAAATCCATATAGGAGTGCCAGGACATAATCATCTTGGAGACTTATTAGTGGTCTATGGCAGGTTTATTTTTCATGAAGACATGCTGAGTGCATGGAGGATGCTTGGTTTATTCACTGTTTTTGTTCTCACCAGACTGACATTTAAACCTCTAGGAAGAAAGAACATGTCACCTCCCTCACAGTGATTTGTTTTTTTTTGCCAGACAGGGCAGTAGCACTCTTGCATTTCCCAAACCTGTCCCTTGACCTTAGAGCCGTTCTTCAGTAATAAATCACGAGGGTAAGACACACACAACTAACTCTGTGGAACTGAGGGGTGTTTGTTCCTCTTGCAGAGGCAGGTTGTGCCCCAGCTGTCATGGCTGTTTGCCTCTCTGCTGGCTGACCAGACCTGGCTGATTCACCAGCACGCGTTGGAGGCGTTCACACATTTTGCAGAGGTGAGCAGAGCACAACCCCGGGTGCACGTGTTTGGCTCTCGTAACTTCTACTGCACAAAAATTCTCCTGTCTTAAATATCTGCTGCTCTTCATTATGCAGTTTGGGTCTTAGTGTTACAGGTGCTATTGCACACCAAAAGTAATGGGAGCTAGTGCAGCTGGAAGTGATTTCAGGAGCTGAACTGAAGGAACATTAAGCACTGGGTGCTTAGGTTGGTTGCAAGAGGGCAGGGACTGTCATAGGAAGATTTTTTGCTTTGTCCATTCCCTTGTTAACATCAATGTACTGATCAACTACTAACATTTCTGACAGGAAACAAGCCATGAAGATGTTGTTCCTCAGTGCCTTAATTCTGAAGAAGCTAAGAACAAAGTTGTTAATTTTCTAGCTAAGGTATGTAAGCTGCTGAACCACTTTACTGCTTTCTCAGTTGATATTGTACACCCATTATGAGCAGTAAACAGCCTGTGTCTATACCTGCATCGTCTGCATGGTGATTAAAAATAAGTTTAAAACAAGTTGTTGTCACTGGGATCTGGTCAAACTTTTCTACTTACTTTGATTAGCAGAATTAACAACTGCCATTCCTATGCACAGTACACTTTCAGTACTTCCCAACTTTGGTTTAAATGCTTTGCTTTTTCCTCCTTAAACAAAAAACTTAGTAAATTGCACGCAGGGATTTCATCATTTGGTTGGTATGCTTTCCTTCCCCATTTCTCTTGGATGAGTTTCTGAAATCTAAATGAACACGTATGAAACATCTCAGTCCTTTTTGCATATTAGAAGAAATCCTCTTAAGAGTAGGTGGCTTTTGCTGCACAACACAGACACTGTGGAAGGGGGTGGTTGTTGTCCTGTAACCTAAGGCAGGGCTCTCTGATGAGCACCTTTTGACAAGCAGATAATTTTCAAAAGAACTGATAACTGCCAGTAATGCTAAACCAGAGTTGTAGGTAACTTTAATCTCCTGATCAGAAAAGTGTGTGAGAAATACTCTCTTTGAGCTGCACGTTAAAATGTCTCCCTCCCTCCCTCCCTCCCTTTTGTTCTGGCATGTAAATCGAGCCTATGAAGGTTGGTAATGCTGCCTTGGTTTAGTTACCTCTCCTGTGGTTTTCTCCCTAGAGAAGGCAGGTAGAAGAGACAAGAGCAGCACGAGTAGAACGCACGAAGCAAGAAAGGATTACCTGGAGTGCACAAGTTTTGCAAGGGGACGGAGAACTGGAGTCAACAGGAGAGGTACACGTGCTCCTTTAAACTATCTGGGCCCTACTGTCGATTTCTGTCAGTTCTGGGAAGTCTCTGAAGAGGTTCAAGATGGCCTTGCTGCCCTCCATAGTCTAAAAAAAAAAAGGTCACGAGCACTCCTGGCCCTTAATAAGGCCTGAATGGTCTGTAGTGCCTGCCAGGCAGCAAGAACTCTCACAGGACAAGGGCATCTTGCAGCTCTGTTCTATCTAAGGGTTTTCTTGCACTTGGATGAGGGCTGATCACTTACACAGAGCACTAAAATGATGTTTCATTTTTACTGAAATCTGCAGCCCCTGGCCAAAAGAGCCTGTCACCCCCCCTCTGAGGAGCAGTACAAGTCAGCAGTGGGCTCGATGGAGGGGGCAGTGGAGGCTGTGAAGCTGCTGCTACAGAAAGGGCCCCCCCCAGCGTGGCTGGCAGCGAAGCTGGAGGCCCTGCACGCAGCCATAGCCACCCTCAGGGACAGCACAAGGTAAGGGCTCCTCAGGGCTCAGACAAGGAGCCAGCTCAGCTCCCTGCAGGGAGGGAAGAGGTGCCTTTGTACCACGAGTGCTGGAGAAGAAAACACTGTCTGCACTGTACCTGTGCCAAGATGGACTGAGGGGTGAGATGTCAGCCCATGTTTCACAGTAAGTGGCTGGAAGGAGTTGATGCATTTCAATGGGCACTACTGTGGATCTGAGCTGTCAGTTTGTATACTGCCAATTTTGTATATTTGTTTGTATATTGTGTTTTTCTACTGTGTGGAGATAAACATTCCATGATATTGTATTCTGAATACTAAGAGGTTTGAGTCTGTTGTCAAAGTAACAGTTACTTTGTTCCTGTCACCTACAGGTGACCAGGCAGTAGGTGTTTTTATCTTAATTTTAAAATACACTCGAGAATAACAATTTATAAGGCTCTACACTGTTCTGTGAACATACCTCTGCTGCTGGTTCCACTCCAGGCTAGGGTCATCTCTTAAAAATAATCTTTATTGGTCACAGTTAAGAGCAGAAAGAACACGGTGCTTTAGCAGTTCATGGTCATTCATTGCACGGCTCCTGGCACCACTCGTGCCATCCACTGACAGAACTACATGAACAGAAATAAATAAGTTGAGTAAACTGTACATTCATCTTAAAATCATCTCTTAGCTAAAAAGTTAAAAGGAGCCATTTCTAAGGGCTTTACTTTTCAGGGAGGGGGAGTGGGGAGAAAAAAAAACAAAGGAAAAAGGCACATTAACCAAGGAACTCAGTGTGACTTTCATTTATTGTCAGCAGTTTTTCAGGGCAGGGATGAGCTCTGGAACAATCACTTACACCACTCTTGGCCTCCAGTAGCACGCCAGCCCCATCCCACCCTTCACCACCATCCCGCTGTTCCTCTCTCCGGGAGCAGCGGCACGCACCACAGCTGGGCATATTGCTTGAGTGCAGGCCTCACCCCTGCAGGTTTTGGCACAGACTGGGGAGGAGCATCCATGGCAGGAGCTCAGGTCCCCCGGGCTCTCGCTGGCTGGGCAGCAAGTGCCTGCCTTCTGGCAAAAGCAGCACTGAGGTACTTATCCGTGGTACTGGGGAAGCAGCGACTCCTCGCACAGGGTCCAACACACCACAAATGGCCTTTGTCTCTTTCCATCCCGTTACCAGGTCGTATCATCTTCCCAGTTCAACTCCTCTTCTTCACCCCAGCCTGTAGCTTCAGCCTAGAATCACATAAAGTTATCAAACATTAAGGCATGTGGACTGTACTTGTGTGCTTAGCACAGCCCCAGGAGCCAGGCAGGAGCCCGTGTGGCTTGGGATGGCAGATCATTCATCCACAATGCCAAAAGTAAAGTGCCAGTAGTTGCAGTTTTTGGTCTTAAAGAACTTTAAGCTACAACAGGAAACTCCTTAAAGACAAAAACAAACTTAAGGGGGAGAGTCTTACACTTCTTCCCTAAAATTAATGCAAGAGCTGTTTGTACTAAAACCACTTTCCATTAAAAAAGAATGCTATAAATTAGATTATTTCTTTCCCCCCAGGAAACAGCCATTTTCCTGCTGTGTTCTAACACTGACACGGCACTGACTGCACTAGTGAGTGACTTTCCTCCCCGCCCCACAAAATGTGGTTGAGATCATGACAGTGCTTCTGTCACAGGACACTGTGCCATTTTCAAATGTTGTAAACAACTTCAGTTTACATCCCAGGCCGCTCTCCTCCTGTTCCCTGCTACCCTTGGGTACCTCTCTTGAGGCTCAATGAGCAAAACAACTTCAGTCAACACCTATTCCCTAACAAAGGGTACACAGTCAGGTGGGAGTGTTGGGAGTGTTGCCTCCCCTGCTAGGAAACAGCAGCAGTCTCTGGAGTCTCCAGGAAGTGGCTACAGGGATTTACCTGATTTCTTAAAAAAAAAAAATAAATAAATTATAACCCCCTTGATTCTCTGAAATAGATAAATGTTTCAGCTATTCTTCCATGAAAATACAGCACCCAGAAAACTTTACTCTGTAATCCAGAGGTTCTGCTTTTCTGTTTTTTAACTGACAATGCTTTTAGGTTTTCCTAGAAGAACCAAGAGCAACAGTAAGTCCTGAGCACCCTCTGTGCTTGAAAGGCCCTTCTGCTGGTGCTGGGACCATGCCTATTCAGCAGCAGGATCCAGCCTTGTTAAGACTCTCCCTAATGAAATGTAGGATTCCTGCATCCAGGATACAGCAACACAGAGTAAAAGCTGGAGTTAAAACTCCTTAGTCAGTACTTCTGGTAGTGTACAAGTTGAGTCCATTCCCTCACTCTTACTTAACACAGCCCTCTTGCTGCTGTATGAATGGCCCACTGAATTCCCTGGTGCCTGCTAAGGCAGAGCTCAGCATCCTGTAGTCACAGGGAAGGACTCATCTGTAGGGCCTGTGCCCCTGATCCCTGCTCAAGTGCCCACCACCCCACTAAGGGGCTGGCTGGTGCTACAGCTCTGTGTGTGCTGTGTGGGCTTTGGGATCCTCTCAAGGGTGCAGTCACTGACACCCCCTGCCTGGAGCCTCTTACCTCAATCCCATCAGCTGCTGCAAATTTGGATGAAAACAGCACGTTCTGGGAGGCACCCGAGGGAGTGGGATCAACTGCTTCTGTTCTGGCCTCAGGTAAAATCAGGAGAGCAGAAGAAGGTTTAATGTCTGGGATCATGTCAGCAAACCAGTCCAGCTCAGGGTCTTGCACGGGTTTCCTCTTCACTTTGATCGTGAACTCTTCTCCCAGGCCGTTCTCTGATGAAGACTTCAACCTTTCCTGAGAGGTTGGTTTTGGCAGCACAGTTTGTTCCAGTTGGTCCTGGTGGTCCCACCTGTCATTGCTCCAGCTGTTCCCAGGGCAGGACTTTGTGGGGGGACTCAGTCTGAGGCTTTTGAATTCCTTGCTCAGTTGATGGGTACCTGGCAGAGGCCTCGGCCTTCCAACTGCATCAGCTTGTGTCACAGTGAGGCAGTTCCCTGAGGGCAGTTTAGGACTGGGGCTCCTGGGCTCAAAGTCATCCCAGGGCTTCTCATCTACATCATGATCAGCAAAATAAGGTCCCACACTGCCCTGCAGCTCTCGGGGCTGAATTTGAATGTTCACAGTTTTCTCAGTGTCTGTCTCCTCTGGCTCGCTCCAGTCTGGCCACTCCTCTGCTGGCTTTTCAGAGGTAGTCAAAGAGCTCCTGCTATTCAGTGTAGTCATGCTTCCAGGAATTCCATTCAGGGAGGGCTGAGTGCCTTGCTCACCTGTGGAAGACAAAGATGTTACATACTCATTTCAAGAGAGCAAGTGCAGAAACAGAGTTGTCCCTAAAGCTCCTTGAGATCACGGGCAGCACCTGGCATGGGAACCAGCCAGTAAGTGGTTGGAAAGAAAGCTCTCAGATGAGAAAGCCCTGACATCTTCCTGCTTGTAAAGGAGGGAATTCACCTCCAAGGCCTGGGGCAATACACTGCCAGCTGATGAGCAGCAGGTGATTGAGAAAAGGCCTGTCAGGAAGGAAACGGAGTTGGCTTGGCCTGTCAGAATGAGCTGACCTGTAAATCCAGGGTATCTGCTGTGATATCTGCTGTGAGGGGGGTGAAAGCACATCACAGAACCTGCCCTAAGGAAACACAAACTCAAGGCCACACAGCCAGTCTGTGTATCTCTGCTTCCCAGACAGCTACTCCCTGGGATGTCAAGGGTCACACTCTCCTTCCACCACTGTTGCTTTCTGTGGTTCACTGAATCTTTCAGATCAGTACATGGAGAAAACTAACATTTTTTAAGGAACACTTCATTTGTGGAACACTTGATTTCCAAGAAGGAAGCACTAGGACTAGGTTTTACCTGTCTTTAAAGCCAGGGGATTGTCTTGTCGCCCAGAAAGCTTCTTGACAGGTACATTTCCAGAGATGGGGAACGAGCTGGAATTGCTCTTCAAGGGCCAGGAGGTTTGATTTCTCTGATTGCTCACAACGTGACTGGGGGAATCTGCCAGGAGAAAAGAAAAGGAAGGACACAAGTCCACAAGGTGTGTTGTCAGTCTTAGCTGAAACTGCCCCCAGCATTGGAATGTTCTTATTTACACTGAAGCCTGGCACAGCAATCCAACAGCTGCACCTCCTGATCCATGGATAACACAATACTCCTCTGTTCCTGCTGCCTACAACTCTTGCCAGTACAAAGTTATGGCAACTGTACATGGTCAGTCTTTGCTGAGATGTTCTTTCAAAAAATACACAATGAACAAAGTGATTATGATCAGAGCAGATGCTTTAAAAATGCTGTCTGCCAGCTGGCTGGATCCAAAATCCCAACTGCTGCACTCCATGGCATCCCAAATCCCCCGGTACCTGCCTCTTACAAAAGCACTGCACTCAGTCACGACAACTCCAAGCATAAACAAACTCATGACTCTACACAAACCCTCCTCCATGCCTGGGCACAGGCACAGCAGCTCCCAGGAATGAGAATCTCTACCCTGAAGGCTGCCCTCCTGTCACACCTGAGGTGAGGGGGGGTGGTTGGCAGCCAAGGCCATGCTCTGGAGCTGCCCAGGCACGTGTTTGAAGGACAGCTTGGCAAGCATCCAGCTGCAGTTCATTCTGGGGAGCTGCAGGCTCTGGTCAGCAGGGGTGCTGAGTCACCTGGGTCATGTGGGGCCCTGTTGCCACCACCTCAGAGTGGCACAGCTCAGGCCAGCGCTGCACAGGGCTCACCTGTGTTCCCAGCTGTGCCTGCCTAGGCTGGGCATTACCAGTGCCACCAGAGACAGGAGCCCATGGCACTAGAAAGGACTGCAAGGAACAAACAGAACCCCCCCTCCCCACAGTGCCCTTGATAAAGGGCACATCCTTTGAGGGGCTTAAGCACACAGCTTATTAAGCCTCATGTGTTCAGCTTCTAGTGCTGCTTTTTGCAGGTTATCACTCACTGTTGAGGACAAAGGTGGGTTTTTTGTTGTTTATCAATAGTTAAATCTAATTTTAAATATATTCTGAAAAATAAACCTGGTTTCCACATGCAGCCCAAAGGGGTTTGTTTACTACACTCTACTAAAATGATGTAAAGAAACTAATGCAATGAGCCATCCACAGATTTTAATAAAGGGTGGTAGCTGTCAGTACACACACAAACAGGAAGCAAACATTTATACTTAAATTGATCTCTGTCATGCATTTCATTTGGTCTCTGTCTGCCTAAAGTAGCACAAGTGCTGATTCTTCCCTCCAGTTACAAACATCCTTATGTTTCAATATCCAGAAAAGCTTTCCCTTAGTACACTTGGTTCCAAGTTATCTAGCAGGTGCAGGGGCTACTGTCTTCACTTGGATTAGCTGAAAAGCCTCCAGAGAGCTGATAAAATAGGGAAGTTCGTATTCCTTTTCCAATCTATGAATAGAAATTGGGGGAAGAAGGTGAGATTTACTATTTTTAAAAACAGGAAGGACAAAGGGAATATTAAAACAATGTCTGTATAAGTCCTTTAGAAGGGCTCTACAGTTTTTCCACCAAAGACAAAACACACACTCAAACACTGTATCTCCTTTACTTACGGGGATTCTTAAGAGGAGATTTAAATTTTCCCCCATATATTTCCTATATATAAAATACTTTTATGTAACCCTTCTTCTGATATCAATTCTGTATCTACAAATAGCACCTAACTTAAAACTGAATTTTGGCTGCAAATTAGCTTTTTCTGCAATTAACCTGTCACCAGCAATGGATTCATCATCCAAGAAATTCTGCCTACGCTGCTTGGACAGAACGGGCAAGAATCCCAAGGACACTCTGACCGTGTCTTTTACCTTCTGAGGAGAGATCAGCAGTTTTCATGAAACTTGGTGCAGAGCTTTTGAAAATCTTGGTTCTTTCTCCACCTACAACCACTTCAGGCCCGAGCAGGGACACGAGCACTGCCAGGCTGTGCAGCGTTATGGCCACGATGGAGTCGCTGGTGTCTCGAAGGCCCAGCAACACCTGCAGCAACAACACAGTCATGTTACCAACAACAGGAATTCTGCTTTTTCACCGCCTTCCCCTTTAAATGTTACACATTCAAGGTAGCACACTTAATTTCTGACCCCCCCACAGCTCTCAGGAGATGGATGTAGCATAAAATCAGCCTTCAACTTCATGCTACAAGCTAAAGAGGGTGGCTGATCCCAGTGTCTGGATGGGGCTGGACCAGATGATTTTTAAGGTCCCTTCCAACCCAAACCATTCTGTGATTCTATGAAACCCCATACTCTAGGATATACCACCTATTGGTTTGCTGTTCTTAACCTGTGGCAATATGATGTTTTTCAACTCCTCCCGGGAGAACAGCTCAGCGTAGGCGTGGATGTGGGACAGCAGCACCATCCGGACGTGCTCCTCGTGAACCTCAAACAGCTTCAGCAGCACAGGGATGACGTGTGCCTGGAACAAGGCTGGTGACAGGAGGCAGCTGGTCTGGCTCTCTCCAGTTTGCTCTAGGGAAGAAAGGTGGAGATGGGAAAAGGCTGCTTCGACAAGGAGAGACAGCTCATCCAAAAGCTCCTGACTGAGAAACCATCACAGATGAGGGTAACAGTGTCACTCCACTGCCAGGTCTGAGGCTGTGTCAGCTGCCAACACAGCTTGCTTGTGTCAGAGATGGGAGAGAGGGGAGGAAACAGTGCCACTGTCCATTGCTCCACGGCCCTGGCTCTGAACATGGAAGGTCAAACGGTCTTGAGAGAAGCTTTGCTTGGCTGAAACACCAGTAGCTATTTAAGACTTTAAATAACTTTTAAGCAACTTTAAGAGAGAGCAGGCAAAGAGCAGGAACAGAGATAGCTAACACCTCTCACAGGGGAAAGGAGAGGAGACTGAGTGCCCTTAGA